CACACAAACACACACACAAAAACACACACAAAAACACACACAAACACACACACAAAAACACACACAAAAACACACACAAACACACACAAACACACACAAACACACACAAACACACACAAACACACACAAACACACACAAACACACACACAAACACACACAAACACACACAAACACACACAAACACACACAAACACACACAAACACACACACACACACACACACACACACACCCACACACCCACACACCCACACACCCACACACCCACACACCCACACACCCACACACCCGCGCCCCCATATGCATCAGCACATGCACCCACCCTCGCGCGCAACCAGTGACGCAGCATCTGCCACGCAGCATGTGGCGGAATCACTTCCTTTACGCAAGGTGCGGCTCTAGCAGATGAAGCACCGGAAGGCGGCCATGCTTAGGCGGCTTAAGTTCAAGAAGCTGTGGGCACGCAGGTTGCTGCAGCACTTAAGTAGTCGTGTATCTTTGTTTCAACAAACTGGCAGCGAGATCCAATGCAACCCCGACTCGTGCAGGGTGCTTGTGCTGCTACCTTCCCAAGTACGAGGAGTGTAAGATGCACAGACAGGGCCAGAACTAGATTCCTAGATGTCCCAGTGCAAGTTCTCCACCTTGCATACACGGACTTTGCCAATGCTTCTGGGTTCGGATATCATATGCTTCAAACTTCAAACATTGTACTAGAGATCGCGAATTACTTCATGCAGCTCTGCCCGCGGAGACGGATGGAAAAGCTGCGGTCACTTCGTGCCACCATCAGAGATTCGCTTAGCAGAGCGGTTGCCACAAAGCTGTGGCCGCATGCGCTCAGCCAGGACTCGCCGTACGGCAAGTCTCTCCTCGAAGGCTTCCCGGGCGCGATCCAGCAACCTTGCCAGGATTTAGGTTTCAGACACGGTTTCAGATGGTTTCAGGCCTAGGGTTCCCGTCTCAAAGCGGCTTTGGGTTTAAGGGGCAAAGCCATCGGTTCTCGAAATGGATGCTGAGCGACGGACGACAACAACCCCATCGATGCCTGAAGCCCTAAACAAACACGCGCGCACCCCCACACATGCACACACGTACAACACCCATGCAGATGTACATACATCAATCAGAGACACCTTCTAGGAGATGCCCCCCTCATGGGAGACGTGGCCGGCAACACTTGTAAAGCGCGAAGTCGCAGTATAAAGCGCCAGGCCGCTGCTCGTAAGCCTCCGGGTCCTGCAGCTTTTCGGCGCCTTTGGCTTGGAAGGCTCTCCGAAGCAACCCGAGCTCCTCGCAACAAACGGGTCTATTCGGGTGCGTGTGCTACTCCGGCTCTTAGATGCAGGATCTTGGAAACCCGGGAGTTTTGGGACAGTCCTTGAAGAGAATGCTCATCTGCCGAGCCGTCTGGCCAGACAGGCCCTCGTCGAAGCTCTGGTTGACCAAAGCCTCGAAGCGGCCGCAGGACTCGGAGGTCAGCAAGACCAGTGCGGTGTCCGCATCTTCCTGGCGTGGAGTGCAGAGTCTGACTCCTAGACTCCATAGCGACAGAGCCATAACCCCTAACTCTCCCTGACGCCTCACTCAGCTTGGTCATAGCGCGGGTATCCAGAACCTTCGAGACCAGGAGGCCTGCAAGCTGCTTTGTCTTAGGCCATGGCGCTCATTTGAATACCATATACAGATACACCATGGAAATTAGCAAGCCGGTGGTATTGGGCTATAATTGCCTTACTTGGGTTATCCTACTGAAAAACTTTACGACCCACCACGTCCCTTGAATCTCTATGTAGAGGGGCTCGAAAGTGCGAATGGGTTGTGAGTTTTCGCAAGGGCCTCGCAAAGGTTTGAACTTGCCAAGGATTTCTTTCTGCTAGGCCTCATATAAGAGATTGACTCAGGGCTTACGGCCGCTGACGCCTTTGGGCAAGTCTCGCGATGATGCTGGTTCAAAGGGTATAGGGTGCGAGGAAGAGGCTGCGTGCACGACCGTCTTCAAGATCTGTGGCACCGGTACAACCGTCTTCAAGATCTGTGGCACCGGTACAACCACAACATTTTTCATAACATGATATAAAATATTTTTCGGCGTGCAAAGCAATGCGATGCAATGCGTTGCAATGTAGTGCAAGGTAAAGTGATGCAATGTGATGTCAATGACAAAGAAGAGGCCATATGCCGCAAGATGCAAAGTATAGATTATGATATCATGAAGGCTTCAAGGCCCATGATGGCCGATGAAAGCCATACTCCATGGACGCCTTTGGGAATCCAAGCCCGCGTGCTCCCCCACCAGTGCCTGCCAGAGGAATCATGGCAGACCAAGCCTCCTTGGCTGGCATGGTTTAGCTGAGGCTTTCAGGAAATCAGCAGTAATCCGTTTCGGCGGCGCTTCTTAGGAGGATCTTACTGTGTAAGATCTAAGTTGGAGCCTGCTATTTGCTGAATCTCCCCTATACTGTGGTCTGAAGGCCCATGCCAAAAAAAACCCGCACTGACACAGAGAGCCAAGCCTGAATTGAAAGGAACAACACCCATGGGCCGAGCTTCTTGCAGTGCCTCTTCGTGGAGAGCCTCCACCTTCTGAAAGACCCCGTAGCCTGCTTTGGAGAGATGCAAACTCACCTTCCCAGTCTTGAGCAGTTTGGCCAACACTCGTCGTTTTCGGGATTACAGTTTCGGAAGGAGTAATCAGAAAACTGATCGGGTTTCAGGTCGAGGCTTCACGCTTCACTGCGAGCTTTTGCTGCGGGTTGTTGCCGCTTGGACCTCGGATACTTCGAAGCGAGATTGGGGGTGGTTGCATGAAGGCGGTTTCGAGTGTCCGTTCCGTCCCACTTGGAGCAAGTAGAAAATGTAGTTTTCGATGATCAAGGCTTTGAAGGGTCAGCTTCAAGTCCTCTCTCCGATTTTGTCCCCAGCCTGCACGTAGATCGAGAAACTGGAGCGAGCAGGAGATGTACGATTGGACGAGTTTCACCTGGTGCGCTCTGACTGTTGGGTCTCCAGCAAACAAGGGTGACCGCGCAGGTCACAATGCTGCAAGGATACATGAGGTAGTGGATAAGACTAACAGGTGATGGTGGGAAGAGCACAAATCTCTACAACAATAGCCGTTGCAATCGTGGCCAGTGGCGGCATCGGAAAAGGCCAATGCATAGCTCCTGGCTTGCGTCAGGTACTTGTCGAAAGCCGCCCTCAGCTGCCACCACGTGCTGTCGAGCTCCAGGAGTAGCCAAGCTGTGCTGTCTTCCCTCCTCGGCAAAGCTTTGAGAGCTTCCCGCCGGCCACTGATTTGTTTAGCAAGCGCGCACAGCCAGTCATGAGCCCAAATACCGTGAGCATCAGAGTTTCGTCCGCAACCCCTTGACTGTACTCCACCAGGAAAAAGCACCAACAAACCCACGTTCTTTTTGGGCCGCCCGAAAACCAACGTTTAACATCCCCAGGAGGTCCAAGTACCGCAACAAAGGCTCAGTCGGATTGATGCACGCTGCTTTCTTTGCCGCTGCTTCCACTCGTCCGAGCGGTGGTGGTAGACTCCAATCAGATGATTCCTCTTTGGGGTTTAGGGTTCCTTGGGAAGAGGCAGTTAGAGCATTTTCACTTTCGACAAGCACAGCAACGCCTCAAGTTTGCGAAATCCTGCCGCAACCACATGCTCCGAGCCGAAAGCCAAGAAAACAGCAAAAATGAAAGTTCAGAAATAAAGACTCCAATATCAAAGCCTTAGTAGTACAATAGGACCCTTCTTGTAAGGACGCACCCCTACTACCCCAAGATTCTGAACCTCCCACATAGCCCATGACTGCCGGACATGGGTCCGGGAGCGCGACAAGGTCTCCATGGCCCTGGCCGCAGCGCCGACCTCCTCGGCCACCGCGTGGCTGCCTTCAACAGGAGGCTTCTCAGCTTGTTGCTGGAGCCTCGTCTTATCTTGGAGTCTAACTACGAGGCCATCAGAAACCTGAAAGACATGATGCCTAAAGAAGTGGGGGCATCGGGAATCTGAACCCTGCGAAGCTTCTTGAGGAAGCCTATTGAGGAAGGCCGCCTCGCTCCAGGCCCCGTCCGCTCGCGGAGAGCAGGGCACCTCACCACGAAAGCGCCCGCTCTTCGAATCATCGCAGAGACATCGCAGAGACATCGCAGAGATATGCAGACCACTTGCAGACCATCTCAGACCCTCCTCTTCCTTGTGGTGGAAGACGGCCTACAAGCACCCCAAACCTTAAACCCACTTTGATGACCTCAGGGGGCATTGGTTCCAGTTTTGGGAAAACACGAAGAGACATGAAATCCTCGCAACTGAGCCGCCATGCAGCGCGTCTTCCTTGTCGATCCTGAGTGGATTGGATCTGGAGTCTGGATAAGTCTGGGGCAGCTTTGGGCACAGCAAGCAACCCGACAGGCCCTAGACACGGGACTGCAATCCACATCCTGAAGCCCTTCACGGCCAAGCAAGCGCAAGCGCTCGCTGCATGCCCAAATGTGGATACCAACCACAACCTCTGAGGCGAAAGTCGGCTAAAATCGCTAACGCTGCCCAGAAGCAGGTGCTGCAGGTGCAGAGTGGCATTGGCTGGCAGCCGAGAAGGCTCCAGGCCGACCATGAAGCCTGCGTGGTGCGGTGTGGGTGCTCGGGCTCAGAGGCGCAGCCGACCCAACGAAACATCGAGCCTAAACAACAGACCGACCCGATATCTTGAACCCTAAACCCCAAAGACCCTTCTAGAACTCGGAGCTTCATGCCAAAGGCCCTTCGCACCAGGCCTCCCTCAAGGCCTGGCAGAAGACCGTTGCACACTTTGTGCCCCGGCCCAAAGACACTACAGTAAACCCTGAACCCTACAATCCAGACGCCCTGGTTCGGGTGGAGTGTAGATTCATAGCATCCAGAGCCCCGGCGTGGCACCAAGCGCTGCCCACGCCGAACTTCGTGATTGGTGCTTGAAATCGAAGTTGATCCACGGGTGTCCCACTTAGCTGCCGATTTCAGAGGCTTCTGTGGAGAGCCTGCGTTGCTGCTTAACGCCTCTGCGTGGATCCAGTGCGCGACTTCGTTCGTTCTGGCACTTCTCGCGTGTTTTTTGCTTGGCACTTTGGCCAATCCCAGTAGTGCTCCTGTCGCTTTGCTAACCTTTTGCAGGGCCTTTGGCCCACAGTGCTCAGACATGGAATGCCAGAGGCACGGCCGACATTTTCTGATAGGGCGACTGGGACGGGGATGGGTACTTGCATCGAATTGATGGAGTTATGGAGAGACCCTCTCGAAGAACAAAAAACACCAAAAAAAACACAAAACAGCCTTTTCACATCCAGGCTCGCAACGACAGAAAGCAGCAACCCCCAAAAGAACCGAAAAACCATCGAAAACCCTGAAAAACCGCAAAAGGCCCCAAAGACTCCAAGCTGAAGCTTCATCTGGGCGGCTCCGGAGGGCTCGCTCCGAGGCGGTTCGCCCCGCATTGCTGAGCCGACCAATCGACAGGAGCTTGTGCCTGGGAAGACTCGATACTGCAATTCGGGTCTAGAGTTTATAGGCATCCTTAGAATATTTGAAATCCCGAAACATGCACCATGCACCCTTTCCAAAACGATAGATAGAATAATTCCAATTTCCAAAACGATGGATAGAATATTTCCCAGGGGCCAAGATAAGCACCCAGACGTGGCTGCTGAGAGAGTGGGTTGGCAGGAACTGACTGCTGAGAGAAATGGGCTGGCACGAGGGGCGTGGGGTTCCAGAAACAACCCTACACGTAGTTACAATTATCTATGGATGCCTGAACAGAGGCTCTGGAGAATCTTTATGACCCAGGGCCCAGGTCTATAAGAGTGGAGGTTTCACCAGTGAAGCGCCCCTATCGTTACATTCTATCTAACCTGCCGAGCCCGACAAAGGATTGTGGAAGGCCCTGGAGGCTGCTATTTAGAGGACAAAGGCACGCCAAGGACGAGAGGGCATAGCTGACGGACTTGAGCTTGCCTGCCCTTGCTTACCCCATGAGACCGAGGAGACGCAAATGGAACTTCAAATCGCGGTGAATTCGCGGTACTATTTTCGGGTTCGATATGAGGGTGCTCCCACCCCCTCCTGTCATGCCCCAAAGGCTTGCAAGATTGTTCGATGCAAGCCATTGTTGACAAAGCTGCTGTTGTGGCCAAAGCAACCCAAGAACTCCTAGCTTGTTGAACTGCGCAACACCATTGAGAATCTTCGTGCTTGCCCAATGGAAAACTATACTGCGTGCTTATCCTAGAACGGACAACAAGGAGGTTCACACGTCGCGGAAAAAGCTGCGGCGCCGGACCCCCGATAACATTTGCCATGATCGAAAGCCATATGACAACTGTCTACAATCACGATGCCGATGTTGACCCTCACGATGCTTTTGAAGCCAGAAAAATGGTGCCATGGGCTACCTTAACCATTGTGCCGACTTGCCCAAACTCATCCACGAAGATTTGTTGCAGCTGTTCCAAAAGCGTTACCCCGACGAAGATTTTGGTTTAGCCGGATGGGCTGCGTCCAACGTGAAGGTTGTCAGATCTCCCACTCATATCCCAAATAAAGCCATAGCTGAAGGTCAGCCGGCCACTCTCTTGGGTCATCTTCGCGATGAACCAGATTTGTCCCGGTAACCTTTTCGGTGGCCTTGCTCGCCGAAGGGCTGACAGCAGCAAGGTTGATCTGTCCCTTGCCCTTCACGACCCTGATTCCCAGTTTGACCTCACTTTCGAGCTCGACCATTTTCCGACCTTTTCTTTTTGTTCGTAGGCTTTAAACTGCTGCTGCTCGAATGGGGCTCCCTGAATAAATTCGTTGGGCTGCCCGGCTACCCTTGGGCGGAAGGCAATTCAAGTTCTTGAAGCTTGCAAATGTCTACGGAAAGCGGATACGTGCACCCATTCGCCAGTTCAGCCTTGTTCCAAGTCCCTGTCTGTTACTGTATGTAGGCAGTCCTGTCGTACCAACTGGTCCACTCAACACGAATTGCCCTTCCATCAAATTTAACACCTTCCTCGACGACCCCAAAATCTGGACCCGAACCAGTGACAGCGATACGCTTGTAGCTGGATGATTCAAAACCGTTCAGGGTTGGATAGCCGGGTTGATCAAGTTCTGAATATTCATGATGCTGTTGTCGCAACGCGTAGGGAATGGAACTCTAACAGCTTTCTTCTCAAGGGTGGTAGCTTTGGCAAGGCTAAGAAGCATGCTACATCACTATGCTGCGTATGTTTACCAGGTTGATAGGAGGCGCGCCGAAGCTACATGATGAGCGAGTCGACAAAGCTAGGGCGAAAATAAGGACCATTCACACATGCATGCCAATGGCCACTCCAAATGGGTTCATGGACCTGAGGTCCAAGGGCCCTTCCAGACATGCCCTGCGAAGCTGCGAACAGCCACAATAATGTGATATGAGGTGCCCGTATCTGTTGTTCGCGACCTTGCAGGACCCTTGGCTTGACTCCTTTGCCAAGTGGGTACAACAGGTTTCGCTGCAGCTACGCCGTTTCGCCTACCTTAGGCCTGAGTTGCTACGCAAGTCTGACTTCGCGTGCGTTATTTTGCTACTCCGCTAATTGAAGATACTGCAGAAAAGCGTTGTCTCAAGCCGCTGATTGAAGTTTGTAAGTGAGCGGAGATGGTCCTTTTGTGGCAAACCTCGAGCTCCTGGGTAAATTGTGTTGGTTTCTTCACAGGGTGGTTGGTCCCAGGTATGACTGCTCGCATCCTGGCTTTAGGTCCTACTTCTTGAGCTTTGCAAAAGTGTCCCAATCAATGTTCACTCCATGAAACAAATACTAAATCAGTGGCAGTATTCGGTATGAGAAGCCTTAGCGGCTTCTCAAAATAAAAGGGCCCTTACTTAAGACCAGAAAAAGGTGCAAAATGGGGAAGACTACCACCCGAACTTCAAGATGAGGATGTATAACTGGAAAGTCTCGATCTTCCTCTCCGTCTTGCAAAGATTCAGGGCTCAGGGCTCTTTGGGGGCCCAGCCAGGGTGCAAACGCGCCAGCCTCGAGTTCAGTGACCTTGTGGAGACAGCTTGGCTAGGACGGTTAGTTTGTCTTGGAAATGTGAAATATTGAAATATGAAACCCCTGGATTGACAAGGTGAGAAGGGGACGTCGGTGGCTATCTTTGGCCCTGCCGGTTTCGAGCTAAAGTCGGCTGTAGATTTGGGATGTTTCGGCCTTTTGAGCTACGGTTCGAGGCTTGCGGGCGTAGGAACGAGCACAAAGAAAAGTCGAACTAGGGCTCCCGGATGACTCCTGAACAACCAAGACACTCTTGAAACGAGCCTTTGCTTGCAAGGAGCTTTCGTATGCTCTGCAGGTCCAACTCTCTCGGTGTGTCTGGGCTCAGGCGGCCGAGCTGGTCCTTCGTTTACCAGGGCAGTCTCTTGGTTTGTGCGTGGCCCTTGTGTGAGCACCCCATTGACGTGAGAAAATGATTTCAAGTCTCAGCGTCCTTCAAAGCGTCCAACTTGGAAGTCAACTTCTCTGTCGAGTACTCAGTCAAGACGTCGAAGTTCCTGACTCACTACACTCCGCCCGGTTCACATGAGCCTTTGGAAGCAGTGCGTCTAAAACCGTAAGCAGCTCAACGAGACAACTTTGTGAGAAGGCTACAAGGTGAACTTCAAGATCTTCAAGTGAACCCACTGTTTTGTATGGAGACATAGAGATATATGACTTCCACACTTCGAAGTGCTGGATCTCCCGCTGTCCCAGGCTCCTGTTGAGCACCGCAACAGCCTGCTCTAAGGACCGGCGCACCGCCAAGTTGCCACTTTGGATTGCATCCTTCGACAGTCTATCAGGTTCAGGTTTTACGGGTGTTAGGTTTTAGGGTCCGAGTCCAGGGCTTTAAGGAGCTTCCGGATGCTGGGGTTCACGCTGCAGGGTTTGAAGGGGTGTGAGGGCTGTAGAGTGTAGCCGGCCAGCCTTCACGCAGTGAAGGTCGCAGACCACTCGGGCGAATGCAGCGGCGGCACCGATGCAGTCATTCTGAGCGGCATCTGCGCGCTGATAGATGTCCCTGCAGGCTCTTCAAACCAAACCCCAAACCCCCGAAACTCTAAACCAAAAACCCTCAACCTTGAACTGTAGGCGCATCAGAACCATGCACGCTAAACCCTCAACTGTACACCCTAAACATCCCTAAGCCGTAACGTATAAACGCAATGGCGTTTTCATGTTGACCCAGGCCGGATGCCTCGCAGTTGTTTCCTCCTTGCTCCAGGCAAAGCTTTCGATCAGGGCTTCTGAGAACACCTTGGTTGCACCGAACTGCAGCAAAATATGGATGGCAAGTGATCCCTCGCAAGTTGACTGCAAAAGAAAGACGGTGCTTGAATATCCCGGGTGCAGCCAGGCAGATGTCTTCTGCGTGCTCCTCGATTCCGAAGCCGAAGGGGGCGACGACTGCAGATGGTACCAATGCACAGCCGAGACGGCCAGCGATGTTGATCTGATTCAGGGTTCCAAAGACAGCTTCCCGAAAATCCATAAGAACTAACCCATTTCAGCAGGTCACGGTGTCTGTGTGTGTGTGCGTGCATGTGTGACTGTGTGTGTGTGTGTGTGTGTGTGTGTGTGTGTGTGTGTGTGTGTGTGTGTGTGTGTGCGTGCGTGCGTGCGTGCGTGCTTGCTGTGCCACCGCGCCCGCGTTCAGATCTGAGCTCTTCAGCTAAGCTCACGTGATGCATGTCGCACAGATTTGATCAATCGGCGCCTGGTTCACAGTTTGGATGTACTTAGCGGCATCCTGATCTCATTTGGTTGCCGAGAAACAAAGGCTGTGTTCGAGTCTCGGTTTAAGGAATGGAGGAATCCTAGGTCGGAAAGTTAATGGCCAAACACTTCAAACGTTACTAATGGCCGGGCCGGAAGCCCTAAAGCCTACGAGGAATCATGGGTGGGAAGCCGAAGACGTTTAAAGGAGATATGGGTGGCGACCTCAACAGCCTAAATGTCGTGTTGGGTGGAAACCAACCGCAGATGCGTGGCCAGACCAAAGGCTAACAGGAGTGTTTTGTGGGAAAGCCAATTAACGCCTAACTTGAAGAGCTGATGGGCGCACCGGGCGAATAAACACAGTACGTCCAGAATCATCTGCTGATGCAGCTCAGAGTCCCACTCGTCCTCTAGATCCATTCGGTTCCGCGCGTCCTCTCGACTGAAGCAATCCATGACCTGTTCGTAGCTGAAGCCGGCGTCCCCGACTTTATTCCTGATGCGAATCTCAGGCTTGTTGAGGACTCGGAGCTTCGGATAGCTGACAATTTGCCAGCATAGCAGTTGTCGACGTGGGGGCAATTTTGCCGCACATGAGCCCCATCTCGCGAGTATCCGAAGTCCACCCTCAACCTGTGCCGAGGGTCACCGTGTCCCAATAGCTGGCATAGCCCTCACCTGAGGCTTCGGAGATGCGAGAGGTCTTGAACTATGAGAGTTTGTGGAAGTTTATAGTCTCCAGCTAACTGCCTAACCCTGTAATGCTTTCACTATCTCACTAGAACCGAGCTCGCAAGGAGGAGCCTTCTTCTTCCTCAGCTGCTCTTCTGGGATCCTTGGACGGCGCCTTCCCGGACCTGCAACAAGGGAAGATCAAGTTGTCCCCTCCAAGATGTTTAGACTGTTTAGACTTCTGGCAGCGGTGGCCTCGCATATGGTTGCTGCATTCTTAGGAACTGCGAACGCACTTCAAGCGAGCATCACGTGGCAAAACTGATTGTGCATCGTATACGGCCTGCAGCCATGATAACCGCCACGACACTGAAACCTTTAACCGAAAGCAATCCAACACGAGACCTGCAGCGCAGTACAAGTGCCAAGGCAGCGGCACGAATTGGCAGGGATTGCTTTCTGGCAAGTCTTTGCTCACCTTGGTTTCATCAAGGGCCGCAAGGACAAGACCGCCTCGAACATCCCCACCCTAAAACAAAAAGCAATTGGAGGATTCTCACTTCTCTTTTTCATCTTCAAGAGGTCTTCGAAAAGCCTTCTTCCAAATCGTTCGCAACTTTGTGCTCACGGCTGAATCTTCCAACAGTTCAGAAACCCCTCACGTCTTCCTCGAAAGCATTCTCCAGTTTTTTGATGCCATTTCAACCATCGAGCAGTTTGCAGAGATGTTTTGAGGGCACCTCTGCCGGACGAGGATTTTTCGAGGAAGGATTCGAGGAATCAAGATCGGGAGGCGCAATTTTTGAGGATGCCTTCGAAGACTTTTCGCAGATTTCTGAGACCCCTCCAGGTGTTTCGACGTTTTGTCCAAGTTACCCGGCTCTGATCGGATGTGTTCTGGACGGGGGCTGGGCCGGGGGCTTCCCGGAGCATCCGTCAATCTTCGAAAAGTCTTGAAAGGAATCTTGAAAGGAATCCTGGAATCTTCCTTAAGATCCTCGTGCGGCGAAGCATGGCGAAGCATCCTCAACACTCTTCACCCCTCCTCCCCTCTTCAGCCCCACCCCCCACCCCTCCTTCTTTCTCGTCGCCCCGAATGTCTCTTATTCCAAAGAAGATTTTGGAGTATGGTAGAGATAAAAAGCAATGAGCAAGAAGGTTTGATGACTCCGAAAGTCTAGGATGAAAACGGTGAGCAAGATTCTTCGATGATCCCCAAGAAGATTTTACGAGGATCCGGCCGAGAACCAAATCAAAGACTTGTTGCAAACATATAATTTCATAGATTCCCAGTGTGTGGATGGCAGAAAATCTCATAAACGTAGTTGCCGTCTCAGACGTGGGCACTGCGCAGGAGGACGGGCGAGGAGAAGAGGGCCAGGAGGAAAACCGAGGTTGGAGCGCGATCAAATGGCAGCATTGACAGCAACCGCTTGCAAAATACCCTAAACCCTAAACCCCAAACCCTCAACAAACAAATTGGAGGCCTGTAAAGTTGACCAGGGCACTTCGTCCCAGTCGGGGACCAGCTCCTTGCATTCTTCCGAGGTCTGGGCTTCGCTGGAGGCGAACGTGAGCAACATTGGCTTGGGCCTCGATGCTGCGAGGATGTACACTTAGCGTTGAGGTGGGTTGAGGGTTTCGTGGGTTTTTTGCCACCCACACTGCCCACGCTCACAGGTGACTGAGGTTTAGGGTATTAGAGTTTGTGATTGCAGGCGTCTTCTTCCAAGAGTCCGCGCTGCCCAAGGCCACAGGTGACAAGGCACCGACCGAAACGACCCAAAGTCTAAAGTCTCGCCCTGCTCTAGGGTGAGGGTGTCTGGATCGGTGGCGGGAGTGTCTACATCAATGACGGTTGAAGTTCTTGAATGTCTGCCCACCCGTACTCCCTCGCACCGCGCGTGCTGTGCTGAGGGTTCGTTTAGGCGCTTTTGGGAGTGACGTGGCATTGCGCCAGTGAGGTTGGATGGCTGGACATGCTTGCTGACTGAGGGCGTTGCCCCACTACTATCTGAAACCCCCCGACCGTAAAACCTGAGAGTGTAATCGTCGTTGAGGGTTCGTCGTTGTCGTTGTCGTTGTCGTTGTCGTTGTCGTTGTCGTTGTCGTTGTCGTTGTTGTTGTTGTTGTTGTTGTTGTTGTTGTTGTTGTTGTTGTCGTTGTTGTTGTCGTTGTCGTTGAATCGGGTGCTGTGATCATCATGGAGGTGTCATTGGAGTCATCGCTGAAATCGTTGAGGCAAGTTGAGGTGTTTGCTGTGGTCATCGCTGAGGTGGTCGTTGCAGCCGTCGAGAGGCGATCGTTGTAGTCCTCCATGTTCAGGTGTCGTGGAGGTCTTCGTGGATGTGGTCGTTGTGGTCGTCTTGGAGGTGGCCCATTCGAGTCCACGTCTAAGTTTACAGTTTTCAGCATTTGTTTTGGGGAAGGCACCCTGAAGAGGCGGGAGAATGAGGCAAAACCTTCCAGAGATGGAAGATGATGGAAGCATTACAACATTGAGTCGTGGCTCCAGCCTATGCATGCCGTGTGCCATCATCGTGTACCCATGTCGAACTATCAGCGCGACAAACATTCACAGTTCCAAATGCAGCAACAGCCCCAGGAAGCTGTAAGACCATGGATAAAGAATGTACCGCTTCACTTTCTGGCCTCGGTGGCTGCCGTGGCGGCGAGAAGCTCCGCTCCTGAGTAGGCTCAGTGTCAGGCAGTGTTTGGACATGCTCCCCAAACTCAAGCAACTGTTTTCGCATCTGCTAAGGTTTCCGTGGTGTGCATCGCAGCTTCAATCGGACCCTTCGGGAGGTATTCTCCGTCGAAGTCCGTGACCGGCACCACGGACCAGCTCGGGCCATGTAGGATGCCATCCTGGGCTCCCCGAGGGTCTGCAATGTGTCTGGCTTTCGGGGCCCGGGGCGTTTGTGTTGTTGTTTTGCGTTTAGAGAACTGGCGTTTTCAGGGCTGATGGGCTTCGGGTCTAAGGTGGGGCACGGGGTGCTCCACGGACAGATAAGGCTGCCCTGGCTGCCCGGGCTCGTCCAAGAGGTCTGCCACGGTGCTATCCACGCAGGTCACAGTCTCCTTGAACCAAATCGTGGCCGTCAAACACCACTGGCCTGGCAGAGCCAAAGGCAAAAAAAACCTTAGAAAATCTTAGAACGTTCGACCAACCTGCAAACTGATTTCGAATATCGGAGATGAAAAAATGATGAAATCATCGAACACGCAGCCAACATGCTGTCTCGTGGGCAAAGCTTGAACACACGAGAAGCCCCACACCCCATTGCCTGTCACAAGCTGTGACAGGAAAGCTTGTGCTGTGCACATGAACCTCTCTCACCACATGGAGAACACTGCAAAATCCCACGTCTTGCCGGGAGCCTGTGGACCAGTTGAAGGCCAACTCGCCGTTTTTGGTTGTTCCGAAGCTGGACTGCTGCGAGTATTTCAAGCCTGGGTCGACGGCTTCGGTGGGGCCTGTAGGTGCTTTGGGGTTTCAGTCGAGGGCTCTGAGGTTTGGCCTGGAAAGTGTTGCAACCCGCCGGAGATAGCATGTTCAGCAAAGAAGCGGCCGCTTTCATCGCGTTCGTAGGGGCAGTAGGCTCCCTCCCAGTTATGAAGGCGGCCGGTTCCGCCTGGGAGGGGATGCATTGTCTGGGGACGGGGCCCCTACACCGAGGTTCAGGGCCGAACCAGGAAACGGCGAAGCACGTCAGCATTACAGAGTTGAGAGATCTTTCGCAGCCGCCTGTCACGATCACGCCCATGGCGAGCGGGCTCATGTAGCAACACCTCATGCTGAATCTGCTGAGAAAGGGGCGATGCTTGAGGCGCCATTGTGAGCCTACTGTAAACCCCCCTCTCAATCTATAAATTGTTTTGTACATCGATGCAAAACAATTCACAGCCTTACCTCTGTCCAAGGCGCAGAATTCGAAAGGACACCGAGACTGCTGACTCGACGACCTGCAACTCCTGCAAACATCGCGAAGTGTCTTGGCCATTGAGATCCATGATTAATCATGATACATGATTCATGCTTGGGTTTCTGGGAGCTGAATCAGCGCAAGCAACTCCAAGAGCTCCTTCTGGGTATTAAAGGTCGAATGTCCCACATGAGGATTATGAGGATTTCACAAGACAAGGGCTCCTGAGATAGTATCAGATAGACCCGCCCTAAATGATAGGATCCTCACCCTAAGACCCACAGAGCCCTTTGGGTGCGATCTTCTCTCCATCTCCTGGAGGCCAGACCCCAGGGGGCAGCTTGCATGCGACCGCAGGAAAGCCTTGAGACGCGCATGGTTGGGCTTAAGGTTTAAGCAGCTACAGTGCTCCCAAGTTCAATTTTCTCCAACAAGAAACATCACACGTTTCTCTGAGGTGGCCTCACTACCTCATCTGGGAGTTTCAGAAATTGGGGGGTCCTTTGAATATGGGTAGCACCAATTCAGGGCTCTGTATTGGGGTCCCCGCTTCTTCTGAACTTCCATTTATCTTTTTGACGGTGTGGAGTTGAGGACTTGCGGTTGGAGGTGCAAAAGTCTTTGGTTTGCTGGAGTCCTTGGAACAAGTGGCCGTAGCCAAACTCTCTCTGCAACTTGTTGAAATGCATGGCAGAGTCAGAGCTGGGGATGCAAACAAGGATGTCCCTGCTTCCGAAGATGTTCTGATTCTGATTGACTGATGGCACTGACGGTTTCAGCGCCCACGCTCGCACAAGGCAAAGGCACATGAGTCAATGAGTCAAGGCTTGGGGTTGTAGGGCTTCTCCTTATGTCGGCCTCGCCGGAGTTCTCGAAGGGCGGAGTCTGGTAAGGGAAACAAGAGCCCATGGAGACCATTCGGTTGCATCCTGACCGAGAACGGAAACTTGAAACGCCGTAGGGCTTAGGGCCGAATGGCTTAGGCTGAGGGTTCAGGGTTCAATGTAGCTTTGGTTTGTGTTTTGCATTACGCCTTGTGACACTGACACCACATTGCAGGGAACTAACCGGCACAAACGTTCAGGAGGAAGAATGTGCTCTTCAAACTAGCAGTAAACCAACTGCAAGCCTTTATCACATCGTGCGCACAATCCTGATTTCTGAGCTCACCTCTAATATAGGAGTCCAAGAATACCAACGCTTAGGTCAAGCCCCACTTGCCACAACACACCCAACCATATGAGGCAAAGGCCATCTAACACACAACTAGGCTGGCGTTTTCTTGAAGACTATGACTCCTTCAACAGGGGAGGTGTGGGGGGCAGGCCATGCAATTACGAGAGGAAACAGATGCGAAACAATACAAGACCCCGCAGGCAATGGATCAAGGAATTTCGTATGCTCGAGGTTCATGCTCTTTACAGTCTCAAACGCTGAAAGAGGAATGAGTATGCAGTCGCATTACGTTGAGGCTCTCATCTTTCCCGAATTGCGAATGCAAAGGAGGAATTGCAAAATCAATCCGAAGCTTAGGTTTTTGGTCCAGGTCGGAAACCCCCCGAAGCTCAAGGCGAGTGCAAAAGCAGCCCAGCATCGGTATCTGATGCTGAGGGTGTTGGGGTCCTGAAGGCATCTGACGGCATGAGATTAATGTCTGCAGTACAGATTCAGGTAAGGTTTGCAGTGCGTACGGTCATACTGGACCAGTGAACGTTGGCTTGCAGCTTCGGGCTACCGTGGAAGCTGGACGGCCTCGTTTACAGTTTCGAGTGTCCCCAGCAGATGTGGCCCTAGTCTTGTTTCATCTTGCTTCTATGGAATCTCGATGGAGTCTCGATGCTGCATTCTCACGCATGGCTGGGCCACCATCACCTTGTCATACTGAACCATATGGGAATGCCTTAACCCGAGTCGATATGCTCAGTCCAAACTTCGTCAAAGCTTCCTGGTCACTCTGATCCCAACCAAAGTGCCTAACGATCTTCGAAGAGAAAAGATCTTCGAAGAGAAAATCTTGAAGGCCACCGCACTTCAACCGCTACTCGAATTCCAAAGTCTCGCTTCGCGATGTCGGCAGGACATTGGGGTCCTTCCGAATGTAACTCACAACGGAGTCAGGCGGACACTTGATTTCATTGATCACATCCACCATGCGGAACTGCTTGAAGCGGAGAGATCTACCTGACTTTCTGATGGTGCGAAGCGCTGCATTAGGCCACCTTCCTATCGAGCACGCATTGCTTGCCCTGAATGCTTTCTCAGGGTTCATCTAAACTTGACGTAGGGTCAGTGGTTCAGGACCTGAACTTACCTGAAGTGAGTTCAGTCAAGCTCACAAGCAAAGGTGCTTCGTGACAGCCCAGGTGCAATTGTTCCACTGCAACATCCCTGCATCCCAGCAAGCAAACTGAAAGTCGCCTGGGGCATGGCGGCAAGCAAATCCTCCAGTTTCTCTTGGCCATGAGCTGCATCCAATCTAAAGCCAACCACTCATAACTTAGCCCCTTTGCCGACACCCCGTTTTCGAAGCCCCACCAACACCCTGGAAGGTCGCGTTCGACTCGGACCATTGCGTCAATCCTTCAGAAGAGCAGTAGTTGATGGTGCCCGGCCACTGGTCCTTGGCTGTCTCTCGGCCGTAGTGGCAAGCTACCACAGCTACGTTTCGATGCGTGGTAAGTCGGGGGTTCGTTCAGCCAAAATGGAATGACGAGACGCAAACGCTTCACTCCCCATCCCGAAGCACAGCGTGGGCTTGGCAAGGAGAACCAGTTGCGATCCGTTCCAGAAAAAGTCATTGTAACCATCCACGCACGGCGCAAAGTCAAAGTTCTGAACTCTGTTCAGTCGCGACAGATCTTTCACGTTGAAGCATAGGCCCGTGTTTGGTTGCAAGAACCTGACTGAAGGCACCACATGGAAAACCCGGCTGGCAGTCGGCATCGCCTTAGCTTCTGTACTACATTGCCCTGCCAACGCCCCGATTCGTGCAGCTCACTTGTGGTCCCACAATCCAAGCTTCACAGCTAGCAGAAACGGAATGGGTCCAAGCAGGTTCTCGATGTTGCTTCTCGCCGTTGCTTCGTTTTCAAGACACTTTGTCACGAATTCTCGGCTTTGGGAGGATCTAAATAGAATGCTCACCTCAAGCGGTAGCGAGGAATCGGGATCTTGTGCTTCAAACCCTGTGCAGATCGCGGCACATGAACTTTACCAAGCGTTTACCAAGCTCGACAGTTCCTACAGCGATCCGAGTTTTCCTTGTCCCGAACGCAAAATTTGCTCGAACCTGAAGGTCTGAAGGACGCGTACTGCCAAAAACAACTGATCCCTTGCAGCTTGGGGTACCGCAGCAGAAGCGAGGCCGCAGCCCGTGAACTCTGGGGCTTCGTGGAATGACAAGTTGGCCAGGGCAAAATTGCCACAATCCTGGGAGGCTCTAGGCCGCTTTCCGGAACTCAGGCTTTTGAAGCCAACAGAAGTTGATGCATGAGACTTCGTTGATCGAACCCTCAACCTCACTACACTACCTATATATATATGTATTTATTTGCTTATTTATTTGTTTCTTCATCGCAATAGTATCTGTAAGCAAATCGGAGACCCTCGGGAGAACCTAAAACACAATACCAGCAAGAACAAAAACAATCTTCAACAAGACAAAGAGCGAAAACAGCGATTTGCAAGACTCCCGGAAGCACCAAGACCAAAATGGCAATACCGAAAATACCAAAATCCGACATTTGAACCTCGCCACCCTGCAGGCAATGAATTTGCGGGACACTCTGGAGATTCTCTGATGAAGATCTGGGGTTGGGCGCTCCAAGAATTCTACGGGGATGCTCTGGGGTGGGACACTCCAGGGACAACGTGATAGTAATGGGGGCACTCTAGGGATTCTCTGAGATACTCTTATCTGGGGTTGGGCACTCCCGCGGTGTTCACGAAATAGCATTTTCGGTACTTTATTCGATGCGCTTTCTCGGTGATGAAGTGTAGAACGTGCAAAACACACGAGTTTTTGCTGTTGAATCAGACTTTGCCGTACATGCTCAGCATGTCATTTTTATCGGTCATTACGGGGGTTTTCGTAGGAAACAGAAGAACCTAGATCTAGACCATAGGGAAATGTGAACATATATATATATATATAATATATAAAGAACATATACATGGATGTTTTGAGTTTGTGGGTTCCGGGCTTCTTAATTACGGTGGCTTAGCAGGCCAGCGTCGCGAGTGAAGCTGGATTTCAGCAGCGTGTCCGAGCCATCTTGCCTCGGTGGCACCTCTCACGCAGAATTCGGCACGCCAAAGGTCCACGCTCAACGACAACCCTGAAAAAGTGGCGACAGCAGACGGCCGCGTTCCCAAACACAGGGAGGATGTGAGGCCTGGCGGGCCTGGCTCTTTCGGAGGAACTTGATCTGGACTGCCCGCTCCAGTGTGGAGAGAACCTCGGCCAACAAACCCGTCAAGACCTGGCGTTCGTTTGTTCAGGGTCTGGGACTCAGGGTCGTGGATGTTGGGCTGAGGCCTAAGATCGGTTTTCGCGCTTCATGTCTTCTTTATTCTTCTTTCTTGTCCCAGCAACTTCTTGACCAAGCTTGAGGCTCGTGGGAGGCCCACCTCATGCCGAAGAGTTTGAGTCCTTTTTTGGGGAAAGCAGTACAAGTACAAATTTCGCGATGCCAGCAGATCATGTTCGCGCTGAGCGTTCGGTGTCACGGTGTCCAGTGTCAAAGATGCTCGACACGTTGACTTTGCAGAGAGCCACTACATCTCCACACCATATGTACGTACGTACGTTCTCTACCTGCTTTGCTTACATGCAAAGTTGTTCAATTGTGTTCAGATACAATAATACTAGTAATACATACGAACACATACCGACACAAACGCAAACAGACCGACAGACACCCAACCAGACAAACAAAGGGACAAACACGCCCGCGCTCGCACGCACACATGTATGCGCACACCCCCATACATACACACACAAACACACAGTGACGACGCACACGCACACGCACTCGCACTCGAACACGCAGACGCACACACACACACACACACACACCCGCACACACACACACAGACACACAGAGACACAGAGACACAGAGACACAGAGACACAGAGACACAGAGACACAGAGACACAGAGACACGGAGACACGGAGACACACACACACACACACACCCACGCACGCACGCCCAGACACAGACACAGACACACAGACACACAGACACACAGACACACAGACACACAGACACACAGACACACAGACACACAGACACACAGACACACAGACACACAGACACACATGCACATGCACATGCACACGCGCGCACCCACCCACCCACCCACGCACCCAGACACACACGCACCCAGCCACGCATGCACACTTGCGCACGCACGCGCAGACGCAGACGCAGACGCAGACGCAGACGCAGACGCAGACGCAGACGCAGACGCAGACGCAGACGCAGATGCAGACCCACACCCACACCCACACCCACACCCACACCCACACCCACACCCACACACACACACACACACACACACACACACACACACCCACACCCACACCCACACCCACACGCACACGCACACGCACACGCACACGCACACGCACACGCACAACCT